ACACGTTCAAACATATACAAACACACGCACACACATTCGTACACATATATACAAACACACATAAATATATGCACGCCCACAGAAACATACATACACATCCATACACACATACAAACACACACACACACACACAAGCACCTGCACACACACACACACACACACACACACACACACACACACACTGGGGTCAACAAGCCAGGACATGTAGAACTCTGGCGATAACGCTGTGGACCAGATAAAACAGAGGGCAGCAAAAGCAACGTTTTGTTTGTGATAACATCTCCTCTGTGCTGTGTCAAACGTTGATGAAATGTTTCCACGACACGGTGGAATCAGGCGCTCGTCAATTTTGAGGCGTATGGAACTATTGGTCTCATCTTGGGAGTAACTATTAATACTCCAAGGGTCTCATCCGATGCTGTTTAAGTCGTAAGATAGCCTATATAGGTCTCATCTCAAAGCGTGTTCATTTACCTTACTTTTGTTGAAAAAAAAATGCGTATCACCTTTAATTGAAGTAGAGACATTTGCAAGTGAGGGGGGGGGGGCGGGGGTCGCCTTGTATCATAAGTAAAATTTGCCAAAGTTTGAGTGTCCTTGGATACTGCAGAAGTACAATGTATTATTTTTCCCCTTGGATCAACGTCTTCAAGAAGTCCACACAGAATTGTGTTTTTAAATGGACAGAAAGAACAATTTCCCCACGGCAGGAAAATGCCGGAATCTTTGATTATTTTGACGTTTTGTTTTTGTTTTAGTTTTAGTAAGAGTTTTACGTCACTAGCAAACACAATAAGGTCATATAAATGCCGAAGATAAGATTATGTGTTACAAGAGAATAACATACACAAAATAGAAGGAGGGGAGATAAGGACGATAGATGTTTGATAGGAAAGAAGGAGCAAACCACACCAGAGCACCCGCCAACCAGCCACTTGACGTTTTGACCAGCGCCTCATTTGACCACGATGCCACACAGATGTTTTCATCAGGTCACGAGTTCGGAGAGATTCAGAGAGCCTACTGTTGGGATAAGAGTTGGAACGTCACGTCATGTCCTGTGTTGAAAAAGGCCGAAGAACGGCAACTGAAAATACTGTTGAAACTGCCTAAGAAGCCCAACCACCCATTGTCGATTGGAGCTCATTATTGTGACAGAACATGCAGTTGTGAGAGCTGTAAAACCTCTACTAAAACTTTTTTTTAAAGCCATTGTCGAGGAGGAAAGTGGCCGCCTTATACCAGACGAAACGGGAGGTCGTTTCACACAATGCCATTATAATGTTAAAAAAACCCATCAAGAAACGAAATGGCACGTACAGTCAAATCTGCTCTAACGGTCACTTGTCCAAGACAAACATTTGTACAAACGACCATCTCCTCTTTTCGGCATTATTGATGGCTTTGTAATGACTATGTCAGATTCCCCACTGCACAAGACAAACACTGCTGTACAAAATAAAATGTAGAAAAATACAATACGTTAGCCACTTAAAACGACACGAGACCATTGTGAAAGAGGTGCTCGAAGGAAGGACGTGGGGCAGAAGAGCCAGGGGGGAGACAAAGAGTAATATGGATAGAGAACATAAAAACATGGACTGGCCTGGACAAGGCAGAATGTGCAACGGCAGCTCGGAACCGTGAAGGATGGAGGGTCATTACATGTCAACCTTTGGGTCAGAAAATCCGATAACACCTCCAGGAAATGACACTGTCCAAGAGACACCAACCTGTCTAGGACAACGATCTTTGTCCTTGATAATATCTTGCGTCTTGAACAATGTTGACTGTACACACAACACAAATGTACACACAACACAAATAAGGATCAAGATCTCCCAGCATTCTACTTTTACTTTTTACTAAACGTTAGCGCACTATTCGGCTATTTAACACCTAGTGCAGACGGCGTCGGTTGTCTAGTCGTTAGACTACGGAACCCGTAATTGTATAATGGGTTGGGTTCGGAGGTACGAGCCTCAGCTCGGCCCGACGTCGTGTCCTTGGGAAAGACACTTAACACGAAGTTCTCATAAGCAGGGATGCCACTCAACTTTTTTGAAAACAGCTGAAAATCCAAGCGCCTCGGTCTCGCTAACATATGAATACCAATTTGAAACCCAAAGAGTGAACAGATATGACCAACAAACATAAGCAATGGGTGTACATAGAGAGATATGACCAACAAACATAAGCAATGGGTGTACATAGAGAGATATGACCAACAAACATAAGCAATGGGTGTACATAGAGAGTCTTCGTTTTTTCCGTTATTTCAACATTTGGTGCAAGTTGTTGTGCGAGTGGGTTCTTTTTCCAACTATAGATTTAATCTCGATCTCAATATAACGGAATAGCGGATCAGAATCAAAATACCGGAAATACCGGGGGGAAAAGCGGAAAAGTGGCAACCCTGCAGCAGGCTCGGTCTAGTAGTATAAGAACGTATAGGGCTCGGTCCTTTCGGAGATGGATGTTAAACTTGGGGGTCCCGCCTCGTAAATAACCTGGCAGCCGTTGATAGGGGCGTTGAAACCTATGCCACTTCATTTTCGCACCCACAACAGACGGACAGTTTGATTCGTTTTACTCAGTCGAGGCCAACTGAATTTTATTTTTAAGTCAAAAAAAAAGGGGGGGGGGGACCCTCACACTGCAACACTGTATTTTATATGGTTATTTAGGAGGCGATACCTCCCCCGAATTTCACGTCTATTTCCGATAGGACTGATAAAAAAATTCCCCTACATGTAAAGTACCTCTCCAAAGGACACAACGTTCTGGCCCGAGCAGAGCCTTGAGCTCCGAAACCCGCAATGTCACGATTACGCGACATTTGGTGACCTTACCACTAGAGACTAACCACTATGTAACCCCAGTCATACAGGAAAGGTGAAGACTAAAAATATAAAGAACAACAATTCCCCACCCCATCCCCTAAAAAAAAAAGACTTAAAAAAACAACAAAACAAAACAACAAAAAGTAACAAACAAACCAACAAAAAAACAGAAAAAACAAAACAAGAACAATAAACCTAAAACAAAGTGTTCCAGTATCTCAAACTCTAAAGCACAACAACATGCTTCTCTGTCAGTTCTCGGGTCAATGTGAACTCTGAAGTCTGAAGTGTGTGGTCTAGAGCGTTTTGATAAAAAGTTACTGTGACCTGGTAAAGGCCGGAGATAAAACACGTCATCATTGCAACACATTTATCTAATCTGCCGCCTCGTGACTGAAACAGTGTGTTCTTTTCCATGGAACTGAAGCTTCGTTGTTTGTGTTATAGTAGCCTACGGGGTGGGGCGCTCATTGGGGGGTCGGGTCGGGTCGGGTTGGATCGGGTCGGTTTGCTAGCCGGATTGAGGTTGCAAAGTGGCTATTGTGGCACAAGCCGGTCGCACCCGTACAAGCGGAAATGGAAAAGGCGGGGACATCATGGAAACAGTTTGCAAAGGATGCACACGACAGGCTTCGCTGGAGAAATGTTGTAGATAGCCTATGCTCCACTGAAAGTTAAGAGAGAGAGAGAGAGAGAGAGAGGTCTTAGACTACATCTGATTTGGCGAGGGGG